ACCTGAAGAGCCCACTGTTATACGCCAGTCGTTACGCACAAGAGGATTGACTCCAGATTCCGAAGGCTTACCTGATTGGTTTTCAGACAATCCTAAACGTAATGTTCCTCTTACTCCTTCTCCTAAGAAGGAACCGGTTCGTGTATTGGCTCCTCTGTCTTTTGATGCGGTTTATGAAGGAGAAGGTTCTTATTCGAAGTTTGTTGATTCTATGGTTAATGGAGAAACTGAAACGGTTAAGGTTGATAAGTTTGATAAGCCTGAGAGGATTGATTTTGAGGGTGGTTTTGATAAAGTACCGTTGAGATTAGAAGAGGAGAATGTAGGTCGTGTTGTGCCTGAGAGGATTTTGGTTGTAAAGTTCTTACCTTGTGAGAATGTTAGGATGGTTACTGCAGGAGACAAAAGTGGGAATGTTGGGTTTTGGAATTTGGATTGTGAGGATGATGAAAATGATGGGATTTATCTGTTTCGTCCTCACACTGCTCCTGTTTCATCACTTGAGTTTCAACAAAACTCTTTCTCAAAGGTAAAAATTAAAGGAGTGATCTTGAAACTTTGATATAGGAGAAAAAGTCTCTCTTTTTTTAATAGTTATTCGTTGGTGTGTTTTGTGGCAGGTTATTAGTAGTGGTTACGATGGTCTTGTTCGTTTGATGGATGTTGAAAAGTTGGTTTTTGATCTTGTTTATTCGGGTGATGAGGATGAGGCGATATTTTCACTCGCGCAGAGGCCGAATGATGAGCAAAGCTTATATTTTGGTGAGGGAAATGGAATGTTGAATGTATGGGATATTAGAGCAGGAAAGTCATCTTTCCAATGGGATTTACATGAACGAAGGATAAACACTATAGACTTCAACCCGCTAAATCCTCATGTCATGGCTACAAGTTCGACAGATGGGACTGCTTGCCTTTGGGACTTGAGAAGCATGGGATCCAAAAAATTGAAAACATTGAAGACTGTAAATCATGCTAAGACTGTGCACTCTGCTTATTTTTCACCTTCTGGCCATATGCTTGCAACTACAAGGTATCTGTAAAATGTGCAATGCTAGTGATTGTTATATTGCTACCTGTTAAGTTCAATCTTTGGGGTTTGTTTTTTTTTTTTGAAACTTATCTTTGGGGTTTGTTAAACTCTTGTTTTTCTTCCTTGTAGTCATGACAACTATGTTGGTATTCTTAGCGGCGCCAATTTTGAGGATATTCACATGATATATCACATTAATAGCACCAACAGGTGGATCTCTAGTTTCAGGTATCCTCCAACATCTTGTACCATACTAAGCTCTCAGTTCCAATACATTTTTTTTACGAGTTATGGTTATGAGTCTATACACTTGTTCTCTGCTTTTTATGAGAAATGGAAAGTAGGCATTTTCAAAAAAATTCAAGCTGGTGTAGTGATTTTTTCAGTTTTTGTTTGCAGGGGAGTATGGGGGTGGGATGATTCATACATCTTTGTCGGAAATCTGTCGAAAAGAATTGATGTCATCGCTCCGCAACTAAGGCGAACAGTGATGGAACTCCATAACCCTTTGATGAAAGCTATTCCATGCAGAATCCATTGTCATCCTCTTAATGTTGGGATGCTTGCAGGAGCCACAGCTGGAGGACAGGTCTATGTTTGGACACCAAAGTAGCATACTTGACCATTTTCAATCAGCATGAGGTTTTATGTTGTCTTGTTTTGTCGGACAGAAATGTAGGAAGATGGAAACTGAATGTAGATCTAATAGCTTAAAGTTAAATCCTTGTGATCTGTGTTATTACTAAAGGTGCGTCAACAAATTAAGCAAAATGAGAGAATTTCCCCAACTATTGCATTAGTTCCAACAGCAAAATAACTCAGAGAAGAGTAAAAATCCTTTTTCATCTAACAACCTAAGCTTTCTATCTAATCCTTTCAATGAGGTTCAGGCGAATCCACATTTGCTCGACTCTCGCCTGGTATCTGTACATTACCCTTCTGATCTGTTCTTGGTTTTGATTCTTCTTTTGGGAGGAGTTTAGTAGATTGATCTTGACTATTGGTTGGAGCATTTCCTGACGGTTTCTTTGTTTCCAGAACAATCTCTTTTATCGTCTCTTCGATTTTTCCTAGTCTCTCTTTCATCTCCATTAGCTCTATGTGAGATTTCGTTG